AAGACATACCCATCAGAAAGACATACCCATCAGAAAGACATACCCATCAGAAAGACATACCCATCAGAAAGGAATATTATTTTTTATCGATGAAAAATTGAGATCGTTTTATCTCCCAGCACTAATAGCATAGTTATAATTCAATTAAATTAGGTATTTCACATTCATTAGAAAGCACGGTCTTGGAGGTGCAAGTCAATCTGGAAGCTCATTCTCTTCAATTCAAAGCAGAGGATCATCACATAGCCGTATTCATAGCTTACCCGAGGCCTCTCTCCCTGGTACTTTAATATGAACATCTTTCTGGTACATCCCATCTCTTTCCCTTGACGAGGTCTGATAAAATGGTTATAGGAGAGGATTGCTGAGAATATTATTTTCCATCAGGCCTCGTAACTATGACAAATCTGGGAGATTTTAAATAAGAGACATATGGACATATGGATAATATAATTGAAAAGATAACATGAATTTGATTTAAAGAGTAATGACACTTTACAACAATGCCTTTTTCTGTACAGTTGATCTGAGTAATGTGATGTTGATTCTAGCCCTAGTCTGTTTTCGGTCTTGGTCTCGACCAGTCTTGGTCTTGGTCTCGCCTTAGTGTGTCTGTGTCTTGGTCTTGGTACCCTCAAGTCTCTGCAGTGTCTTGGTCTTGATACCTTCCGGTCTCGGCAATGTCTTGGTCTCGGTTTAGGCGGTCTTGACTACAACAAAAGCTGGTACATACTTCTTGTGTAGAGGTTGGTGGTGTTGCTGTGAGTTGTGTCAACAGACAAAGCAGTGCTGAGTTCACTGGCCTTTGCTCAATGTAGTCTATAGAATCCAGAATATTTCCATACAGCAGATGACGGCACATGCAAAAGCAGGGGCAGTAAACTTCAGGCTGATTTTGTAAACATACGCTAGAAAATCTTGAACAATCGTTAAAATTGCAAGGCTTGCTAAGTTTTATTTCTGTCTTAGTGTGAGAGGGGGATATACTGTAGGGCTCTCGAAGGAACAAACAGGCATGTTTTGGTTCGTTCAGAAATATTTTATTAAAAGCAATACAAAATTATCATACATCATAAGCTTTGATAAGTAATCCCCTTAATAAAATGCTGCAAGCTATTTACACTCGGACGTGCCATCATCACCCACCTTCACTCTTAGACCAGGGAGCCCCTTTCCGTCCTGGCAGGAGACCAACACGTGATGTAAGAGAAGTGCTGGGCGATGGGCGCTCTATCCCACAGCTGAGCTCCAGTTAGTATTGAGTTCCCCCCCTTCCTTTATACTAAATTGGCCGCTGTCTAAGACGACTGTGTGCATGTGGGCAGGGAATGAGCTGGCCAGGCTCATCCCTCCCCTCAGGCACTGCGCTTCTGGTCCTCCAGTTCTCACCTAAGTGGAGTGAGACTACATGCAGCTGGAAAATATATATTTAAAAACTCTTTTCTTTAATCCCTTGGGAAACAATACAACTGTCCTTTGGCAACGCTTTCTCTTCTTCCCCAAAGACAAGACAAGCATCCTAGAACAAGATAAGCATCCCGCGTTATACGTTGAAGTCATTCTAGAAAGACATGTTACACAACTCGACCTTGGCACAATCATATGGGTGAAGCATGGACACATTAGAATGTCTGGGGCGGCTAGTCCATACACAAACAGAATTGTTCAATACCTCGATCACCTCAGATGTATATCTGCTAGGTGGAGTTGGAGGCATTGTTCCCTCTAATTTTTCATGTGTCTGAGCAAACACACAAAACTCCCTGACTGCGCTTTTGGTCCCTTGGACCACTGCGAGCAACATCAGACGTGTTCACTGTGGTTACGCCAGCATCACATCCATCCAAGTTACATGGTTTATTAAAAATATCAAATTACAGCATTTACATTTGTTAGAATACTTTTCATTAAGTGCTTTAGCCCACTTCCAATAAAAATTACAAAAATCTTGTTCATGACCTGTGTAGTATGTTAACGCTATTGGAAATATAAATATTTAATTTTAACTATGGCAAAACATGAACTGCCAACCAAACCAAACCAACTATAAACTCATTTTGAAAACACACACTTAACATTTTTATTATAAAGCTCTAACTTGTCTGACTTGAGTATGAGCCAGTGTATGAAGCACTGGCTGTGCACTGGGTGAGAGGGTTCTACTGTGGTCTGGGAGAGAGTCCTGTAACTCTTTTGTCTGCAAAATACAGTATATAACGACACGGTTATTTGCGTTTCTACTACTCATAAACTAGTATCAGTATTTAATGATCAATATCCATAAATGAAAATTGTAAATAAATGACACTAGATGAGCACAAATCTGATTGAGGACTTAAATTTCACCTTAACTTTTCCGTCTGTCCTTCTCACGTCTCCAATGGTTGTACTCGTTGTCCAGGTTGATGGCCGCGTCTGCTTGCAGCTTTGACTTTATGTGCATCAGCTGGTCCAAATGCTCCACTTCAAGACGATTTCTGGATGCTGTTTTGCTACGATTCATCAAACTAAAGCCTCTTTCACAATCTGCACTGGATGCTTGAAATGTAGCACAAATATCCACAAGCTGTGAGATGTGTTTTAGCTCCTCATTTTAAAGTTGCAGCCACCATATCTGAGAATGTGCTGATTGACCCGTGTTTAAGTTTTTGCCTCATTATATACTTGAATTCAGCATATTCACTGTTAATGACCTCCACAGAATGTGGGCGATGGAGAATGACCTCATACTTGTTTGCCAGTGTGGCAATGTCTGCTGCTCCATACTCAAAACTGATGTCTGAGCTCAGTGCCTCAATGTCAAATGCAGACCACTCCTTTAATTCATCCTCTGGAAAACGAGCATCCAAGTGATCACAAAGCTTACGAATAAAACGAGTAATCTCACCGGTATTTTTGCTATTGGCTGATGAGGCCCTCATCGCCTCTTTGACACGGTCACTCCACTTAACATCCTTTTCCTCTGTCAAGTATTGGGAACGCAACTTCTCAATCTTTGCTCTTGCAAAGCAGTGCCCTTCCATCACAGTCAGGCTGCGTCTTTGAAAGGAAAGACACAGGTGTGAGAGCTCGCCCAAAACATCTCCCAGAGCAGTGAGAGTAACCTTGAACTTTGAATCGGTCAGCTTTTTGTAACAGTAATTTGCCACTGGATCTCTGTTATCACTGGATTCTCTCTTGCAGTGTTCTTCCAGCACAGTGTAGTTCCTCAGAACAGCATTCACAGTTTGGTCCCGCGACAGCCATCACACTTCGTTTAGAGGCCTGAATGACAGTGTATCCTCATCAAGAATCTTTGTTAGGTCTTCCAATTTCCCCCTCTTTACAGTGGATCTAGAGAAAGTGGAATAAACCGTTCTAAGAAGTGTTTCCACATCACGCATCAAAGGTACATTTTTCCAAACATCATCAATGCCCAAGTCCTCTCTATGGGCCACGCAGTGTTGTTCAGTTAGGTGTGGTATTTGCCGCTTTAATAAAGCTGCAACTCCGTTGTGCTTTCCTAACATTACTGAGGCACCATCGGAGGTCAGCATCACCATTCTCTGCATATCTAGTTCATGCTTGGTGTAAAACTGAGTTATTGCCTGCACAATATCCTGAGCAGTGCATGCTGTCAACTGGATGATGCCGCCAAACACAGTTTTATGGTTGCCGGTATTTTCCTCCCTATATTTCATATATGGGACTAGCATTTTGTGCACTGCTATGTCTGTGCTCTCATCTACAATCAGGGTGTGCCAAGGTGCATTTTTAACTTTACACATCGTCTCATTCTGCACTATTTGATTAATCGAATTCACAAACTCAAAGGCATAATTTTTGCTTCGCCAGCTTTCTGGTATACTTACATACTTGATGTGATCGTGAATTTGTTGAACTGACAGCGTAGAAGCATTCATGTTGATGGCTAGTAGAATATTGTCGATGAGAACTTTAACTTGCTCGGGGTTGGATTTCTTTACGAGTGACAGCTCGTTCCTCTTCTCGCGGTCTTTGGCGCTCTCCCCCAACAATGTACCGATCCCCATTCCCATCTTACATCTTCTTACAATTCCAACCGCTTTCAAATGACTTTTGTGCTGAATGTGATGCTTCAGGTAGTCCAGCTTCCATTCTGTCCACACTTTTCCCTCTGAAAAGTCGCTTGGTATTTTGGCTTTGCAACATGTTTTGCAGAGCAGACCTTTCTCGCTCGAAAAAGAAAAAATCTCATCCAGTTTCACCGTTTTTTTTCTTCTGTTTGCACATACTCCATTCCATCTTAAAAGAATCGCATTTCTTTTTTACTTTGGCTTGTTGAGGGGATGTGCCACTGCCTGTTCGTTTTGCCATTATTATAAAGGGTCAACAGAAGCAGCACTTGGCATCATTAGCATGTCTTCACTCTCCATCTGCCACACCGCTTTGCTAGCTAAAACACCGGTGGCGGCACATAAGGACGCTGTCATAGCCTGTCAGTGACATTGATTAGCTGCGTAAATACGTATGTGAATGGCATCATTGGCTGGAGCAGCCAGTCACCGGTCACTCACTGACTCGCATTGCGAAATAGCACAGAATGAATTATGTGTTTATTTTCAATTCAGGTTGGATTTTTTTTTTTTTTGTGCGCGGTTGGATTTTTTTGTGTGGAGACTGTGTCAGCAGTGCGCAATTGCGCACGCGCGCAGCTTTGTGGTATGTGGGCGACGTAATTGCCCGCAAATTCCTTACATTTTCCTATGACGGTATAAAAACGTTTTAGTGTAAGTTAATGATGGTTTCCATCCAAGTCACTATCACCGTCCTTGCAACGTGACAACTTCACCCACATCTCGTGCAACATCCCGTATTGTGCAGGCCACGTTCCTGTAATGATACGCTCCCATGGGCTAAAAATCGTATAGCATAACGTTTACTGGCTTATTCTTTGGCTTTTAAAGAATCTGTATACCAGCAATCTCCCCAGTACCATTAGGAACAATGGCCAAAGTAACAATGGGTAAGCTGTTGTGCCCCAGCACCCTTGGCGAATAAAGCTGATTCTGATTCTATTGTACTGGATCAGCTAAGATGGAAAGGTTCACTTATGAATCTCCAGATTATGACATCAGTGCAATCAGGTACATCTCAGTTTTCTTTTTTTTTTGTACCAGTGGTGAGGTACGACTAGGTCCAAATCCTTGTCCCCACTGCAGAATGCTAAGCAATGCAAAACCTGGCTGGAAACTTAAACTAGATTTAAAAAAAAAAAAGCAAGTCACATTATTTAAAAACAAATATTGCAAATATACATATGTACAAATGGCCTAGTTTGGACAGTGTAACTAAATGCTGTTTTGAGACTTGAATAGCTGTGGTGTTCCCCAGCTGTGGTAGATAACAGTGGTCCTTACATGTGCTCCGTTGATCTGTATTTGATATCTTAATGACAACTGCAGAAGTGGTGCCTTGTCTGTATGGAGGTCTTTTCCGTTATGATGCATCCAATGGGCTGTGCATGTTTTACGTCTTTGTCAAAGCCAAAAAAAAAATGCAGAAAGTCACCATACCTTGATCCATAATGGACTGGTTTTCTCTCACCACTGTATTATAGTTTAGTTGAATGCTACATGCATGCATGCATGCATTCTTGATTCTCTGTCGTCTTGCCATTCTAGCGGTATTTTTTTTGCAGTTTACAGCCCGTCACATTTATAAAACATAAGGATACATCAAATTTTATACAGATAACTAACTTTTGGGTGTCATAATACACGTCTCCTTAGTATTTTAGGTGTACTACTAATCTGCTTAACAAATTGTGGGCGTAAGTAGATGTCCGTATAGTGCCAAAATACCGGCGTCCAGGCAAATGTTTTGCCCATTATATAAAGCCCTGATAATCATTGTGCATGTGCCATATAGTCACTATTACATTGCGATGTGATATCGCGCAGCCCTACTATCTATAGATTTACATATTTGTGACAGTACAGTTTAGTCATATGTTGAACACGGCAAAGGCAGTATTTAAAAATCTATAGTTTCGGGATTTGGTAAAAAGTCAGTAACTGGTAATTGTTTTTCATTATCTGCCGGCCACAGTGGCTGGTTCAACAAGAGTTTGATTTGAGACTCTGCTTGTTGTAAGGCGCCATTCTGGCTGGATGGGAACATCTGCTTCCTGCAGAACTTTCTGTCGGTGCCATAGTTCCAGGCAGTCTACTGCCTCCGGGAAGATCTGTCTTTCAAACTTGTTAGCAAACATGCTGTTCTTGGCAATGACCCACGGCAGATCTGCTAATCCAAAGACGCAGATGTCTCGAACATACTGCCCTGAAAACCAGAACAATGACAAGCTGAACAAACCAAATGCAGTGCTGTCACTTGTTTGCTTGCTGCTGCAAAGAAGTTTGTTTGGCTGTTTAAGGTTTTCTTAGCATTAGTTAACACTTGCCTTTGTCAGTGTTTCTGTCTTGTCAGATTTTATATACAGTGGAAACAGCTTATAGTGATCATGGTTATAGTAATCAACTGCTTATATGGATCAAAAAGCTTGGGACAGTATAAATCCTATACAAATACTGTTGTTTTTTTTTTTTTTTAAAGCTTGACTTTGTTTTGCCTCCTTTGCCTCACAGTAACGTGCAAGCTTCCAACTAGCTAGGTAATTCTGTGTGCATTGAAATCATGATGGGGAAAACAGAAAGTTATTTTCACTCAATGACAAACGTATACTCATTGAACAATGGACACGATTGTGAAATGACTTTTCCACGAAGCGCAGAGCTGATACAAAAACAGAGGTAGCCTCATTTTTTGTTGTCGCAGAAGATTTTATGAATGTTTGATTTCAAGTTCTGCTACCTCTTCGGCATTGATAGCCTACAGTTTATTTTCAGTTCTGTTAAAAATTGAGAAATGCCCTGAAAAACATGGTCTGTATTTGCACTACTGACGTATAATACTGTGTGTTGTAAACCACACAATAAAAAATAAATGTTTTATTTCATTGCAGACAGTATGAATCCAAGATATATCATGTGGTCAACTTCATTTCATATAATATAGATCCTTTCCTGCATTTCAGGCTTGAAATGCATACCTAAAAATGTTGGGATGGTAAAGCATACACCACTTTATAATGTTGCCATTAAAAACACTTAAAAGATGTTTTGGCACTGAGGATACCAAGCGATGAAGATTTTCAGGTGTTATTTTGTCCCATTCTTCCTGCAAACACACCTTAAGTTGTGCAACAGTACCGGGTTGTCGTTCTTGCATTTTACGTTTCAAAATTCTCCAGACATTCTCCATTGGGGACAGGTCAGGACTGCAGGCAGCCCACTCTAGCACCCACACCCTCTTCTGCAGCCATGCTTTTGTAATGCATGCAGAATGCGGTTTTGCATTGTCTGCAAAATGCATGGATGTCCCTGGACAAGATGTTGTCTTGACGGCAGCAGTATATTGCTCTAAAATCTCGATGTACTTTTCTGCATTAATGGTGCCATCACAGAAGTATAAATTCTTTGCCAAGGACACTGACACAACTCCAGACATAACAGGTCCTGGTCCGGAGAACACAGCCACGTCCATTTCACAATACACATTTCCATTGTGTAATGGTCTGTCCAAGATGCCTCTGAGCCCAGAGAAGTCGATGCCGCTTTGGGGACATGCTTCTTTTATGCACAGTAATGTTTTAAGTGGAATTTTCGAATGTAACTCCATATTGTAGTGCTTGATAAAGGTTTGCAAAAGTAATCCCTTGCCCATGTGGTTATGTTAGCTATTAGGGCTGAAGGATTTGGGGAAAATATCTAATAGTGATTTTTCTGACAGATATTGCGATTACGATACATGTAGATGTGTGTGCAGAACAGAACAGAAAATCTCACTCCATGCAGCTGACCAAAGTTGCCAACCCTGCATTTTATTTGAAATGAGAAGTAAAATGCAGTTTTCGACTGAAGCAGCTTATTCCTTTGCTTTGTTACTCAGACAAATACAAAACCAATGAATAAACATTGAGTCTCTTTTTGTATCTTTTCTAAATAAGACCACGTGCCCATTCCCAACTGTAATAGCGATTTAAAGCAATGTGTTCTTTTAGTATTCATGTTAAAGCAAGGCTTTTATTTTATTACTGTTGTGTGATTTAGATTAATTTCACAAGATTAATCTTTGGTAATACTTAAATTAATTAGCACAAAACCATATGACATAAGCACGACTGTATTATGGGTTTTACGGCTTTTTGGGGGGTCACAGACTCCGCTGCTGTGAGGATTACTGACTTTCTCGTTGTTTCGATGGGTTAGCGGTATGCTAATGCTATTGCCCATTCGCAAAAGCCAAAGGTATGATACGCTGAAGTATGTCACTGCTGGTGGTTAAAAGGTCGTCGCCAGTTCTATTGATGATAGGACCTTTCTGAAACCATCTCGGACCATGAATTAGGAAGGTAATTCACTTATAGCTCAGTAGCGGAATCAGTATTTTCTCCGCACCAGAAATGCAACATTTTCCTTGGGTTTCACGTGTTTGCTGTTTGTGGGCCTATATGCAGTCAGCTTAGGCCACTTCTGATTGGTGAGCATGACTGGCATGCGAGAACCATGGTGCTTCTGATTGCTGAGAATGACACCAAAGTCACACAGGGAGCATGGCATGAATTTGTAAAACTATTCTCGCAGCAGTTTTAAACCCTGGGTCCGACATGCTGTATAATGTATATCCTAAATCGCAGTATTTGCGATTTACTGATTGCGTTGTTTCAAATCACGATTTCAATTTGAAATCGATAAATCGTCCAACCCTATTCGATATTGATTTATGACAGTTCTTGATTCAGTGTCGTCTGAAGGGTCTGAGATTACGGGTGCTCAACTTAAGTCGCTGCCCCCTCACCCTTTTACGCACTGAAATTACTTCAGATTCCTTGAATTATTTAGTGACAATATGCACTGTACAGGGAAAAATGTGCAAATTCCTGCCAATCTTTCTTTGAAGAACATTGTTTTATAACATTTCAATAATTTTCTCATGCATTTGTTGATAAACTGGAGGTCTTCTGGCCATCTTTGCTCCTCAAACACTCAACCTTTCGTGGATACTACCAAATCATGATTACAATCATCTGTTGACATCACCTGTATCAAATCACATCATCTTTTATTTTTTTTCTAGCTACTAGCTGCAGGTCTGAAATGCAGGGAAGGATGTATGTTAACAAATGAAATAAAGTTTTCAGAACCAGAAAAAAATATCTGGGGTTCATACTGTCTGCAATACAAGTCAAAAAGTCAAAGTAAATTTCACAACCCTCAACGACTTTTAATTTGCATGCACTTTCCATACTGTCCCAACTTTTTCTCATTTGAAAAACACTTGAAACTACTGTACTGTATTTTGAAAGAGTCGCTAAAATTCAGTAAATAGCGACAGTGTCAGCTTCATAATACAAATGTTAGTCAGATGGTAATCTTCAGGAAAAAAGGCCAAGGAAAAATATCAGTTATATGCAGGGGTACACATAACACCTTCAAGAACGATACGTGCGACAATCGATTGTTTGTAAAAGCGCAAATGCGTACTTATTTTATGTGCATTTGCGCTGCTATGACAAGAAAATACCTTGCACTTTAACCTGTATACCGCAAATTAAGTCGAGTTGGCATATAAAGATTGAAATACATTACATTTTGTTTTCATATTAGCGCGTATCGTTCTTAACGGTGAATGCGTACTTGCGTATCAGTTATGTGCACCCCTGGTTATATGATCATCCGCTTATTCTGATCGAGTGATCAAGGTCAGACATGATCACTATCAATGGTCTTTTGTCAATGTATAACACTGCAACAACATTGCAGTAAACTGTGCTTCACTTGCAGTTATTAGAATGTTAATGATGCATACAATACCTTTACACCCTTTGTGTTTTGTTCCCTCTTGGTCTTTCCATTTTACTGCACGAATGTTACCTTCCCATTCTCCTTTTGTATGGCTCCCTGGTACATCTGCATGTTAAAAAAAAAAAATCTATGTACAAATTTCATTTATTATATATAGAAAGTAAATAAATACGTTTGGCATCATGAAATGGAGCACAGAGGTATTAACATGCCTTTTAGGTGGTTTAGCGTTACCCAGTAATGTTCATCAGGGCTGTAGGTATCTCTGGACCATTCCAGTAGGTCCTTAGCCACTGTACTCCGTAGCACAAAGTCCACAAATGGCCGTGTGAGAGCATAATAAGCTGTCCCAAAGTAGATGTCCAAGTTGTGTGGAGGTGGCCCCTTTGTGTACGTCTTGCCCTTAGGGGCCATGTAGGAGTGGTTAATCTCCTCATATTGTATCTGTGTTCGGTGCATCATGGTCGACGGCTGTTTGACGCCTGGAGTCATGTTGGTCCCATTCCACGGCTTACTCTGCAGATACCGCACCAGTTCCCGATTGGACATCACTGGAAAGTCCTGGCCACATAGGTTTATTACCTTCTTCCATGGTATGGAGGATCTGGCCAGATCTGCCATGCAGTTGAGGTCCGCCTTGAGGCGTGAAAAGCCTGCATAGGTGACCTCCTCTCTTGTGGTTGCCAGAAACACATTAGGAAAGCAGCTGGCCAACTGACCGACAATGGTCATGTACTGCTGTGAAGATTTGGTGTCAACGTGGATACAGTAGATGTTCTGGGGTGTGTAAATAGCCCTTAGGAGACGCATGAACAACTCCAGCTCCTTGTGGATGGTGATGATGAAGGCCAGAGGGTACTCCTCTTCCTCTCGACTCAAGGGAGCCGTGATAAAGTAGAGCTCCTCTGCTATTCGGGAGCAGTTTGGCTCCTTTGTGGTGAAATAGCTTTCAGAGAGGCAGTCTCTCTTCTGCCATGGTGCATCTTCTTCCATGAATGGCCCGCAGTACTGAGGAAAAGACCTACAGCTGTCTGACTTGGGGTGTGCAGTGAAATATAGCACTATATTTTCTCTCAGGTAAATGGCAGAGTAGATCGCAATACCGATTCCAAGGCTGAACAGGAAACGGTGCTTGTTTCTCCTGGGACAGAACATAATTTCCAGCAGGAAGGACAGCACCTGTCAAACAAGGGCAGTAGTGGGCAATCTTATCCAGAATGGGCCATTGGGTATGCAGCTTTTCACTGCAACTCCCTAATTAGGTCACTAATTAGAGGGCTGTTTGGCTGAAGAGTCCTCACACCTGGGTTTGAACAGCTGACCTAAAGGTTATCCCAAAAAGCTGCATACACACCGGCCCTTTTTGGATATGGCCCACCCACGAACAAGAGTATAATATGAACATTTTGAACTCGTATCTGTGCCCTTGGGAATCAAAACCCTGGTGAGTGTCTGCCAGTGCACCACTAAGAGTATCTTGACTGGATCCACTGAACCACTCAGCTTCTCAAGTTACTGCAAAGGACTGTCTGGACAGCTTCAAAGATCGACACAGATCAGCACACCTACAATCAATCTTTCCTCCACCTGTCAGAAGAGGGTCGAGTCCTATTCAGGGACGCCAGCCACCCAGCTCATGCCCGATTTACCCTTCCTACCATCTGGAAAATACACCACCAGCATGACCCATGTCATCAGGTCCCTAAACAGTGAGCTACTTGCATCCTCCCCCTGTTCCACTTCCGCCCCTTCATATTAATTTAGCATATTTGTTTAAACTGTGGTCTGTTTACAGTGCGCACATATTATTTACTTACCTATTTGTTCTCAGAAGCTCTTTGTTTTCATGTCACAACTTTAAAAATACTGTGTGCTAAAATGCTGTCTACACAGGGTCTACTTTATTATGATCACAAAGGAGTAAGTGAGAAAAGGGCTTCCTTTTTCAGTGAACATATGCCTTTGTTAGAAACACTGTGCTTTTCTGTAAAATTGGGGAGCATGCACTGGCACAGTGCATCGTCATACCCACCACATGACGAAACACCTTGGGATCCCGGTTGGTGATCTCACCCCCCCTCTAGGCTTACACGCAATCTATTCTCACCCTATGGAAATGGCCATCTATCTGCCTGCAAGCTGGATCGCCCTCAGGGAATCATGCCACATGGCCATAGTGCCGTAACTGACGCTCCCTCACAGTGCAGGTAATGTGCCTCATTTGGGACTCCCTGAGCAACCGCTCGTTCAACACAAAACAAACCAGTGGTACCCAAGGAATCTATGAAGAGACACAGTACCAAAGGAGTCCAGTCATTGTCTCAGGTCACTGGATAGTGTCCATGTCTTGCAGCCATACAGCAAAATGGAGCACCAGGACACCTTATCTGCCCTCAGAGCAATGAGTTGAAATGTCAGTTGAGTAGACCCTGCAGGTTTATAGAATCCACATGCACAATTCTCATAGCGGTCAGTGCTAGTGGTCACATTGAAGTCACCCATGACAAGAGGAGTGTCACCTTGTGGGCATCCATCAACAACCGAGTGAATTTGCAAATAAAATGTCTCCCTCATCAAGACATCGCCCACAGCGGTCAGAACAAGACACCCAGAGAGTGCCATAGCCTGAGTCTCATAACATCTTCGGGAGGAGCCGATCTGCCACAGCAACAGCTACTCCCTGAGTATGGTAGCCATCGTGGCAACCAGACCAATAATAGGTGTACCCCCCTACAGAGATCTGGCCACTCCCCGGTCTGCGTACCTCAGAGAGTGCCGCCACTGAAATGTGGAGTTTACGAAGCTCCTCCAACAGCAGAGGAAGATCCTCTCCATGCTGGGGAGACGAGACGTTCCACGAACCTACCCAGTTGGGCCTCAGCAGATTAGCACCCGAGTGCTACCATGTAGCATTATGCATTTACGCATGGTAGTTATGAGCGTAGCGTGCGTACTCACAGCATCCTAGTTCTTTGTACTAGGGTATACCTTTAAAATGATGTAGAATAACGACTTACGAACATTTCAAGTTAGGAACGGCCGTTTGGAACGTAACTCGTTTGAAAGTAGAGGAGTGTCTGTATTATTAAATTTTAGAATATTATGAAATCTCTGCTAATATCGATGTATCTTTTTTAAGGCATATTGTCCAGCCCTAACTGAAGATCTCTACATAGATTTGAATGAGCCTCTGACCCCGTATCACAGGATTGACTGAAACCGATGAAAATTAATCTCTGAATTGTACTTGGGTGAATTAGCGCATTGAGGAACACAACAATGTAGAGACATTTTGTTCTCTTGCCAATGATGTCGTTAATTTCTCCTTAATCTTAAAAATTTCTCATGATTGCTACAAACTATAACCAGAAACTACAGCTGCACCGATAGTATCAGCCCATACAGTAAGTGTCGGCCATTGAATGGTGGTTAAAAATGAACCAATATTTACTGCCCATAATTCCCTTTAAATTAATGACACATATTGCTTTGCACACCTGCCTACCAAACAAAATGCCTGCTATGTGGAATTGTTTTATTGTTGTTGAAGTGAAAATGCATTTCGCAAACATTGCTCTGCTAATGTTTTTTTAAGGAGGATTTACTCAAACATTTCAACACAACAAATTTCATTGCAGACCTTAAGGCGAGACACTGAAGAATATGAAATGTTTCTGAAAAAACAAATCCGTTCCAGTAAAGAAGGCTGCAGTATTGCCAAATGATGCTAGTTTGTCTGTAAAGCAAACATGTGATAGCAAACGGAAATTCAGTGTGGACAGTGTGAAATCAAAAGTTTTGTTACTCGGAAACCTACATTACAAATTATCACATATGATGCGCAGTCCTTTTTTATAAATGTTTTAAATATATAAGATGTATAGAGTTGTTATATATAGTGCTCTGGGACTCTACTCGCGTCGTGCCCTGATGAATCTCCAACAGCCCACCTTAAGCCTCCATAGATATATTTTGAATGATGAATGTATGGGTGAATGAAGAAGAACGTGTAAGCATGCCTGTGATTAGACCACTGTATAGACCTTCAGTTTTTATATGGAGTTTCATTTTTGCTTTTAAAATTGCATGCCCAGACATGCAAATTTCAGGACATCCAAAATATTCCATTATGAAATGTATACCGTAAAACTATGCAAATTTCTATGCTTTAAAGCTCTGTATTGATGCTTGCTAAAGGGCACTTAGCAGGAACGGCTGTGTATGTGGAGCCCTTCCCAGGGGTTTTGGAATAATTGCGCCCCTGGGAAAAAGGTTTACCTGAGGGTGGTAGCACATTGCTTTCCATGTGTGACCTGCTTTCATCATGGTCATGTTTGTTAAGAATGTGTGAAATGTTTTAATGTAAAATGCAGTTTTTGAATGCATGTGTTCCGTTAACTCTAGAATTGTATGCTTGGCGGTCAACTTTTCAGCCCTTTTTAGATGTTTTAAAATGAATCCTGATTATATTGTTTCTGACAGTCAATGTTATCTTGGATTATCTTTTAGAATAACTATGAGAACACTGAATACCTTTGTAACCTCTGAACCATAAATTTGTAACTTATTTTAATGCAATTCACATTTTGGTTAACATGAATGTCATAGCAGTCATTTAAATTCTTAAATCTTTCACGAATGAATTGGTCCTGAGTTTGTAGCAGATTCTTGCTTGTTCCTATTGTAGCCTCTCTAAAGAAATGGCTTTGAAAGCACTATGAGAGCGAAGCAGCATGACAGAATATAGCACCTGGTGTCCGCGTGTGTAGTCATACCTGCTCGGCGCTCGATCCTGCCTTCCCGCGCCGTATCGCAGCACACCCTCGCTCTTCCAGCCGAATGTGGGTTGCAGTGTGTCAGCGATGGAGAGCTGCGTCAGCTGCACCTTCTCCTTGGAGACTGAGCATTTTTCATGCTTGGTAACCAGGTTGCTTCTCGCCACGCCTGAGTCCCTCCCTCAGCTCTCGCACTGCATATCATCCGCACTCTTGCCTTCCTGGCAGGTTCGCGCCTGCCGTCCGGATAAGACTGCCCAATCGGGGAGCTTAAGTGTTTGTGGCCTACTGTACAGAGATTTTCTCAAGTACAAATTGCGCACGTGGGCAAGAGGTCACCCTACGATATCAGGAGTGTGACGTGATGTGAAATACACATGATAGAGCAATACGCGCTTCAGAGTTCTACTTCCTGTCTGCCTTTTGTAGGCGGGCTGGTGGTTTGAGTTGAGGTATTCAAATGCCTGTGTCCCTTGTCATCCCTGACAGTTTTCTAAATATACCCTAGTTAAATTACAACGTTCTGTGACTTGGTCTTTTACTGTTCTGGACTTTGTCATCATAAATTAATTTTCTCTCGCTGTGTAAGTATGAAGGTTATAATAAAAAAAAAAAAAAAAAACATGTATGGTTATAAAAGTATTGGGCCATTTGCTATTTCCGAAATGTGATGATTTAATGACTTTTTAAAATGAAGGTTTTGCTTTATTTACCAGCATAAACCAGTTAGTGTGCATTTCCTCTGGATACTGAGTCCAGTCACGTGTGGTTTAGGTGAATTAGGTGTCTGTGTGTGGTGTGTTTGCAATGGAGTAGTATCCCATGCAGGGTTGTCTTTGTTTGTACAGCTGTAGATGGGTCAATGTTTCTTAAAGACAATGAGTAAAAGTCAGTTCTGTTTCCACCTGTAAAGACCCTTGATTGAGGAGGAGACTCGTTACTTTATCCCAACCAGTCACAACTCATAGCTTTAGTAAATACTATTTTGTCCAGAGATGGCACAGGTAGTTCCGGCAGCCTAATAACAGTTCTCTATAAATGCATTTTAATGTTTTATTAAGCCTGTTTAATATAAAAACCTGTGTGACTTTTCACTGATAAAGAAGCAGTCATTCTTGTCAGCATAATTTTCCTTGGTATTCAAATTGGAAGCGCCTCTGACAGTTTCAACAGAGTGCAGACGTTCTGTCCTTATAAGGGACTACGGGGTCGATTCTCCTATCAAGCACTCAAGTCAGAAAAACTTGTAGCAGATTCTTGCTTGTCCCTATTGTAGCCTCTCTCTAAAGAGATTGCATCCCTAGAAGAAATGAAAGCCGGCATTGGGCATCAGGCTGATATTGTGCTCATATGCTCAACTTGTAATAATTGTCCAATACCAAAGAAGCATTTGGGAAGGATAAATGCAGCGAACACCAGGATTGGCAAATTGGCCAGTATATGTGAAGGATATCAGGAGTTTGGACATATTTTAGGATAAGGGACGACGACAGAAGTGAAGCAGACTAAGCTCTGTTCTGCTAATATACACTTTATATATAAAGTGAAATTTCTCTTCGTTACTATTATTCATCTTTACTAATATGGTAATTTAAGCGCGTTAATGTCCAGCATTATGTACTCTGAATTGACGGGAATTATTAAAATTATGCACAGATTGATAGATACTGCCACGAATGTCAGGCCCTGCACTGTGGAAAAATGACCTCACCTCCAGGTGCACTATGATGCCCCTGTCAGTCTCTCTGCTCTGTCTACTCTCACAAACACATCCGAACTACTTTCTTAAAGAGAAAAGGAGAAGAGTGAGAAGTCTCTGTGTTATAGAAAGATTGTGATTGTGGAGCATGGCCCAGTAGAGCCATATGTCCAGTTTTCAGTCTTGTACCCTCATAGAAAATAAACAGTCACTGACTAAATATCTTTTCATGCCATAGTGACTCGTTAATGAGTGCTCTTTGCATTAAGAGGGCACAAAGTTTTGTTTATATTTCATTGGAAATGGCCTCATGCTATGCATTTTATTTGATACAATCGAAATATCAAGATAAGTAAGAAACCTGCTCCACGTAACATAACATTTAGCAAGCAGGTGAGTTGAGCCGGACCGACAGGTAAACAGGTTTTATTGGAAACCCAAGGGCAGACATCCACGAACTTTACAACAATACAATGACAGATCTGGGGAATACTGACTGAGACACGCACTAAATACTCAAGACAAGCAGGAAATAACAAGCAACAGGTGAGCACAATTGGGAATTGACACGAGGTAACGAGGGGGGCGTGGCACACACGAGGATCGTACGAGCCGGGCGTAACATAAACCCCCCACAATGGCGTGCCCAGAGGGTGCACCGACGGATGAGACGAGACCGGGGAACCAGGACCTGGAAGACAAAAGAAAAACCATCAACGGGACACAGGAAACAGAACGGAAACACAGAACACGGGCAAGCAGGCGGTGCGGCGGAAGCCCCCAGACGGCCACCCTGAAATATGGAGGTTGATGGTGATGATGGCTGCGCGGCTGTGGTGATCCCCCAGGGTTGCTGAGTCAGGAGGGGTTCCTCCTGACATTCCGCAGGAAAAGAGGCTTCGGAAAGATAGCACGCCCCTAAGAAAATCGTCGGGGCGGCTTCTTCCCCTTTTCCCCTACGCCTTTTCTTTTTTCGCTGACCGGGACAGGTAGGTGGAGGCGGGGTTGCCTCTGAACAGGCGAGCGGCTGGAGCCGCTTCTCTGCTACCCGTTCGACGAGCTGTCGAAGGTTGGAGCGCACTTCCGCAATCGAGTGCGCCTCCGTGCGTGGAGTAACCTCTTGTAAGAGGGTCCAGCTCTGGTCTGCTAAGATGAGCAAGCCGGTGTCTTCACGGACCTCCGGCTGATCTTGCCAGTAATTCATCTCGTGCAGCAGGATTAACCATGGGTCCTCTTCCTGCTGCGGTGGATCTTTCGGGAGATCTGTCATTCTGTTATGTTACGCGGAGCAGGCGAGTTGAGCCGGACCGACAGGTAAACGGGTTTTATTGGCAACACAAGGGCAGACATCCACGAACTTTACAACAATACAATGACAGATCTGGGAAATACTGACTGAGACACAGACTAAATACTCAAGACAAGCAGGAAATAAGCAACAAGTGAGCACAATTAGAAATTGACTTTCTACTGAACTCTACACTCCAACCATATCATTGCGCAGACGATAGTGCTGGTGCGCTGACAACGTGACTAGATGTAATCGTCACTGGCATCTTCCTCGGCTGAGCTGTAACATTAGTTAGTAGTATAAGTTGGCAATGTCAGACTATGAGCCGCCTTTGTATAAATCACCCCGCTCTTATACATTCAGGAGTTCTGCAGATTTTTTTTTTTTTTCGTACACCAAAAATTTGAAGAAGAGAACGGAACTCAGGGCCAAATGTCTGTTGAGTGAGTAACTATTATCCTCAACTACTGTTTTAATAATTTCTTTATTATTTTATTATGCAATTGAATTTTTATCAGGAAAAACCATGCCATCTGTGTTGAATGAAGAATGTAACGCAAGTCATTTTGTTCAGACAATACCAGTTGGTGGCATACAGGGTTGTTTTGAGGTGGGTCTTTAAGGGATTATGACTGGGCAGATGGAACAAAAAAGTCATACCTGCATGCATCGTTGCAGCCATTCTTGTGAAGAATTTCCCCCACTGGTCAGTACCATGATTTCCTGGAGGCAGAAGATACTTTGACTATAATCTACGAACATTATCCCTCTAGAGTGGGGGCAGTGAATGTTATAACTAGTGCTGTCAAACGATAACATTTTTTAAATCAGATTAATCACAGGGTTTCTCTGGATTAATTTCGATTAATCATGATTAAATATCATTAATTTTTTTATCTATTTTAATCACATTTCATTTTTCATGAGCAAATAGACTCAAGAAAAAAGGCAATATATGTGCACTTAACATGCATCTTGAACATGAGTCGGATGCATTCCATCTGCCACAGAAGCACAATACCATGGACCCATATCAAAAAGCAAGATTCTTTGCTTAGCCGGACAACTTGTCGGATTTAAGGTACCTCAGTTTAAATGGTCTTTATCTTCGTTCACTTACAATTAGCCCGAACTACCGTAAATCTGACAAATAATCTGACTAATCATGAAATCCAATTCTAGCCTGGTTAATTGCCATTGTTAGCAATATCAGTTGATAACACATTACGCACGGTGCTTTAAGTATAAAACTCCGTAGCAACACGTCCACAGATAAGTTGGACGGTATAGTGTGTGTGACCGATTTAATGAGCCAGTAGTGCTTAAACAGTATAGAACTACAACTTTCCCTTCTGTTGATAAAGGGCGCAGCCATCTCGGATTCTGAACTCCGGATCCTCTGTGCTGCTCCGAGATATTTCTCGGATCTCCAAGAAACGGGAGCACGCATGTCGTCACTTCCGGCTTCAAAACTCCGGAATCCGACTCGGAATACGAGTTCCGAGGGCAAATGGAACGCACCAAAACTGCCCAAAATGGGTTGACAGAGACATTCAACCCATTTCAGGGATTTTGAGTCATTCTGCGCTGCAGATGAGTTAATTGCTGTAAAAATTTTAATCAGATTAATCATGATGATGGATTAATCCGCGTTAACCCGTTAATTTAGACAGCCCTAGTTATAACGTTACACTACAATTATATTATGCTGTAATTGTGTTCTTTTTTTATGGAGTTGGTTTGTTTCTGTGAAAAGAAATTAAAATTCTTATTCAATACTGTTATACATTTTTCTGTGAGATTTGTATTCGTATATTTTAACAATTTTACCAAATGCATACTGCACATAAATAATGGGCATGGAATCTAATGGAATGGATAATGGAATCTAAATGTACCAGAAATGGTTGCACAGTGCATCCAATACAGAATCTATAGTTTTCTAATTTTTGCTGTTTAATGTTTACTTATATTTGTAGTGTTAATTACTTTTTATATAAATCTTTATTGGAGAGATGTTCACATAGGTGAGAGTGGGCTAAGATTTACCATTATTTACATAACATGGAAAAAAGACAAAATAAGCTAGTCTGCCCATATTTCTGGATCTTTATTTAAAGTCTAAATTATAAATATGCACCTGCGCAAAAGACTGCTTGACTTAACAGATAACTAGGAAATGTCATAGCATTTCTTAGGAATTAAAGCCATATAATCACTGAACAAAATATCTCCAGGAGGCTTTCTCTTTGCGCTAACTTAATCAAAAAATGTAAATCCAAATGAAAAACAATCCCAAGTGGTTCTTTGAATTCACATACCTTTTGACATTCTATTTCAATGCTTCTGAGAAATCATTATGTATGAAGTTGCAAAAAAATGTGCTTCATCCCTTCTATAGTTATTTGAGTATCTTTTTCAGTTTTGGGGTGAACAGTCCCTTTTGTCAAAAAAGCACATAGCTGTGCACTCTTGACTTAAAGTACATGGGAGTCTCGATCCCTATATTTTTATGAGCACACTGGAATGCTAATTGAAATAATTTTCCTATGAAAATTAACAGTGGCTAGGTTATTGTCTTTTTGTTCATTAGCTGTGGTATGAACGGAATAAAACACTTTGAGGTG